AGTCCTTTCCAACTCTATTATTCTGTATGATACCTTATAAAATCAAATCAAAGTGGATGTGCCTAGCCCTAGAGATTTGAGGATTTATTCGTTAAGATTTTTTTAATCCTGCCTCTATTACTTTATAACGGGTGTCAAACTCAAGGCCTGGGGGCCAGATCTGGCCCATGGGGTGCTTAGATCTGGCCCATGAGGCCGCCCTGGAAACAGCAAATGACTGGCCCGCAGTGCTTCTGCCAATGAAAATGGCACTTGGGAGGGCTGTGGGCGGCTCTGTGTTCTGTTTTTGCCTGCAGAGGGTTGCTGGCAGAGAGTTGCTCAGGAGCCCATTTTCACTGACAATTTGGGCTGCCATAGGTGCCCCCAAAACAAGTGATGTTGAGCTGACCACACCCACCCTGGTCGCACCCACCCCTCCCCCCCAAGGTCAAACACAACCCTGATGTGGCCCTCAATGAAATCGAGTTTGACACGCCTGCTTTATAAGTAACTCAAGGCAGGATACATACACAATATTTCTTCCTATTTCCCCATAATGACAACCTGTGAAGTGGGCTGGACTGAGAGATTGACTGGCCTAAGGTCATAAGTCGGCTTTCATGGCTTAGGCAGGATAGGAACTCAGTCACCAGGAGATCGGATAATAGTTATCCACCCAGCTTTCATACCTAAAGGGGGATTAGAATTCACCATTTCCTTGTAATTGGCCCAAAGTTAGCCAGCTGGCTTTCATACTGAAGGTGGGACTCAAATTGACCATGTCCTAGTTTCTCGCCTGATGCCTTAACCACTAGACCAAACTAAAGTACCAATCACTCTGTTGACACCCAACCTTTTTTTTTTGTATTTTTTTTTTTTTGGATTTTCACAAAACCTAATACAAATAAAATATCTTTTTTGAGAGCAGCATGATTCCAGGTTATCACATCTCAGTACAGACATAATCTCAATTACATATTCATCTTTATATTCTATTTCATATCTTGTCACTATTTTTATCATTTTCACAATAATTTTTCCCTTCCCTTACTTTCCTCAACCTTATTTCTGTTTTTCTCATTCCTTTCTAATTCAATTACATATCCTTTTCTTCGTTTCTTTATCTTTCTAGTCATTATATTTGTACTTTTGTACTTACAATTTCATACATTCTTTTTTCATCATTGTCCCGAAAGGGAAAAGAAAAAAAAATTCCCTCCCCTTCCAGGCATTAAAAAGCAAGGTTTCCCTTTGATTACTAAATAGAGTGTATCACCTTTATATCTTATAATTGTTATCCATTCAAATCTCGTTTAACATTTAATTTATGCATTATACAATTATAAAGTTCAGTTTCTAATATCTATTTTATATCATATAACTCTTATCGACCGAATTCTGCTTGGTACTTTCCCTTAAAAATACACACTGAATTCTGAAAAAAGAAAAAATATATAACAATAATGAATAAAATGGTTATTCTATTCAAATTCCTCGTGACAAATGATATTGATTTCATTATAAATCTTTTACATTTCTTTTCAGTGAAATTTTATAAATTGTTAAAAACAATTAAAGTATTTTCATTTCTTCCTCTTATTCCCTCTTCTACTTTTGTTCCCTTTCTCTATTTCATTTAATTATTAACAAACATTCCATTACATAACATTTTGTCTTTCACTTTAATCACCTATGTTTCATATTTTCTAGGTCGTTACTATTTCCAATATAACAACACTATCTCTTGTACCCTTGCAGAATCCTCTCAATTTATATTTTTAACCATTATCTCTATGTCTTTTAAATAGGCTAATACCTTTAATCCTTGTACGTTTCCTGTTTCTTTATTTCCTGTTTCTGTCCCTTATAACTTCTTCTCCTTTTTATCTTTCCCCTCTTTTTCTCAACACCCATTTTGTCCCCCTGTCTCCCTGATTCTCCCTTCT